ATTATAGAGTTTTGGGCTATTATCAGCCCAATACTTAGGCTGGACTTGTCAGCTCAGAAAATTAAGGCATACTGCACTCAGTTCCAAATTTGAAGATAAATGCAAGTTGGGCCGAATTATTTTTCTTTTAAAAAAAGCCCAAAATCTTGGCCTTCTGATCATTCACAAACAATCGACCCACACACCAGCCGCCGGAAATCGTCACCGGAAAATTTTGAGATTAATCTCATTCTGGCTTTTTTGATCCAGAGTGAAGACTATCAACCGCCAATACAGAGCCTGCTTTTTAGATTTTCTGAATTCCATAATCCAAGTGAAGTGCTTCCTTTATATTATTATTATATGAATTTTCTAACTCATATTTTTAAAATGTAATTATTATAATTTTTATTATTAATTTACATAAAAAAATTAATTTTAATTTTATTAACTATTTAATTAAATCACTCTACATGGTATTACTATCAAAAATAAAATTTATTTTTAAATTTTTTTATATAAATTAATAATAAAAAATATAAAAAAATATATTTTTAATTTATACTTTAAAAATATAAATATAAGTTAAAAACTACACATTATTATATAGAAGACAAGTTATTGGAAGATGGGTTATCCTTGCCCTCTAATCAATGTAATTTGATGCTTCCAACAAAAAATGTGTTTTGGGGTTCTTTAGATTAATCATAACGGACCAAAATTAATACCATTTTCGCTTAGGATGTACATATATACCTCTGGGCACACAGTGCATCAAGACAACATTAAAAACAAGTGTAAACCCTGCTGAGGATAGGGATCAAGCAAAATGTACAACATTTTGACCCTTGAAAAGTGTGATTCAAATTCAATCAGTACAGCCATTGAATATTTTACCAGAATCCCAATAGATCATGTTTTATTTTATTGTGACCAGTAAGTACTCGTGAAACATATTTCATCGTCCTTCTTCATTCGATTTCAAATTTGAGACAAGTAGCAAGAGGAGAGAAAATACTACTTGCACTAGTTTAGTTGAAGAAAATTTAAGTGATTTAGTAATAATTTTTATTTATTAAAAATAAAAAATTTTGAATCTAAATTGTATATATATGTGAGTAATAAATTGTAATGTTTTAAATTTTATATTAAGATGAAAGTGTGAGTGTAATTAGTATCATAAATATAAAAATTTATTATTATTAATAACTTAAATTTAAATTTTTGAGGGATTATAAACCTTAATTAAGAGTTATTAATCAAGTAATTGGTTTTCGTCTCTTCTTATTATTGTAACGCTTTAAAACTTACATAGAGATAGAAGTAACCTAAGAGTTCTTAGAATAAGAATAAAATAAAATAAAATAAAATTAAAAAACCCTATTATCCAAGTAGAATTTATGACTCTCAAGTCACCTAATTTTAAGACCTATTTAGTATGCACATGTCCTAAAATGTTTTTGTGGAAGTTGTGTCATTTTGTACACGACTTTATCCCAGAAATAAAAATTCAGGAAACAAATAGAAATAATTTTTTTTTATGTTGCTTTGAGAAGGGTCACGTGGTTTAAGGACTATTAATTTCTTGTAAAAGAATTTTTCATACTAAACTTAAAGTGTAAGGTTTAAGTTTCATTCCCAACATTCGCAAAAAAAAAAAAAAATCTGTTTGTTGCTTTGAATTGGGCTTTCAAATTTAATGATCCGTTTTAAATTTTAATATTTAATTTTAATTAATTGAAAGTTTAACTGCACTAATTAATTACTTGAAAAATTCTCCCGTTTCCAATAATTCTCTATGTTGCTTTCAAAAAAAAAAAAAAACCATATACACTCTGCTGGTAAAAAAAGGGGTAATGTCTTTCCGAGATAAAATAATCAATTACTAAAAAAATAAACAATTATATTCATTTTTCTCCAAAATAATCAATTACAATCAACTTATGACCTGTTATAATTGTTATTAGTTTTTAATTATGCTCCTAATCTTAAAATCCTAAGTCAAGCTCTATCAATTTATGACGCAACTTCTAATGAAAAATATTTTAGAACATGTGTGTATCAAACAAGCTCTTAAGTTTTGAAAGCAGAGCATTGGTAGTATTCTTTTGATTGAAACTTGAGTTTTTAAGTGCCAAAATAGAGCTGGGGTTTTAAGTGCCAAAATAGGACAAGAAAAACGATGCGAAAACGTTATCTTCGAAGTTTGAAAGAAAACTCTCATCAATTGCGTGGGTCTCATCTCATGTGCAAGTAGAGTGGGAAGAAAAATGAGACAACATACATGATTACTAAAAAAAATTACTGTTTGATAATTATCTCCAAAAAAAAAGGAAAAAATCAAAGTGTTTGATGCACCTGACCCTTCGGATCAACTGACAACCTGTTAGCTTGAGGTGCATTCTCCCTCTCCCCGAAACTCATCCCTTGATAACTTGTTAAAAAAAAAAAAAAAATCAAGGTGTTTGATAATGAATAGCCACGTGTGGTTACTTATGTTTCAACGTGGGATGTCCTGTCTCTGGCTAGTTCATCATTCTTTTGGAATTATTGTGTGCATGTATGGGGTCAGATATACCTTCGCAACTCACATTTTTCTTTTAGAGGCATTGCATAAAGAAAGAAAGTAAAAATAGATTGGAGAGCAAGAAGAAAATCAAGGCCGTTTTTGGTATGTATGCAGGCCGGTAAAACTTTCTCAAGATTCATGTTATCTGGCTGTTCATGGACTCTTTCTACTAGGTTTACTTAATTAAAGGGTGTTCGATCAACCAATCCCCCTAGATTTGTTTCTTGCTCAAAGATTTTGTCAAATTTGTTTCTAAGAAATTAGTAGAAGATTATTAACGACCTAAATAATTCA